CACGCATGTGTATTGCATTTGCATCGCATATAAACCAAGATGAAAATTTTTCATCAGAGTAATATTTTTATGAAGCCATAATCCATTGATTTGTTAATATATATCAAGTATTTCTTTCGCCCAAAGAGTATATGAAATTTTTAAAAAAAAACATACTATTCATGTTTGCTTTAGTTGTTATGGAATAAATGTAAGAAAAAACCTGAACCATTGAAATGAATTTCTTCTAGTATTTACCTACAATTGTTGGTGTCCATTCCTCTTTCTTTTTCGAATTATTTATTTCAATTAAAATTCATATTGTTCAGGATCCACCAATCTGTACATACATTCGAAGAAAGATGAAAATGAAAACTTGATCAGTGTAATCATTTACATAATGATTTGAAAGAATCCATTGCAATGTTTTCTTTTTCTCTTACGAATCTAAATAAAAGTGTAAAAATAAGAATAAAAAAGATTCAATCATCAATTGTTTGAATTTGACTCCGAGTATTCATTGTTAAATTTTGCTACCAGTGTTCTGTTTGAATTTTGATTTTGACTATCCGCCGAATAAATATATCTACAGAATTGACAGTTTTTGTTTGATACACAAATGCCTATTGTTACCAAAATTTCACGACAACATTTAATGTCGTCAGTAAGTTTGAAAGATTTGTTGATTATGCATCGAAGATCGATTTTCTTCTTTTTGTATACAGAGCTCACATATGTCCGATCATCGACTGACAATGAAAACGCATAAACATCATTCTCAGCGAGTTATTCATACCTCGATTGGCACTAAAAATCTAACATCGTTGATGTTTTCCGAAAATCAAATGCTTATTGTAAGAGAAATTAAAATCAGGATATTACTTGTTTTTTTTTCTTCAATGATTATACAATGATGTAAAAATTTCGAGATAGTACTCATTGACTTCATATGTATTTGCCACAATACGAGCCTACAAGGCTGGCATGATCTTGAAAGATCTCTCTTTTCTCTTATAGAAATCCATTACAATAATTTACGGTTAAGTTCCATAGCTATAAGTACGGTCAGTCCGACCTTCTTTCATCATGGATCAGTTCAATTGGAAAATAATTTTAAATAAAAGGATATCTATCAGATTTACTGTAACGCAACGCTACTATAGTAAGCCTACAATAAAAAAAATTAGTATAATAGAATAACAAAAATCAATTTTTGAAACCATTAGCGTGGACATACCTTATCAATATACCGACAAATTTTATCAGAAAGATATAACTAATACTTATAATGAGTTCTATTGCCGGTGATATCTTTACGAATAAATTTTTTGGGTCATAAACAATGAACTAAACTTCTTATGACTTTACTACATCGAATTAATGAAACTATTAAGACTATTCATTGTTCTCTGGACGATAAAAAGTGTCTAATTTTCAACCAAAGTTATTAAATTATGACTTTCGATCGTTCGAAATAGAATTTTTTCTATTTTATGAAAGCCAACAATCTCTAGTGCTAATCGGTATTTGCCGTCAGTAGCAAGTGTTCATACTGACTCGAGTCGAATCGATATCAAACAAAAAAAACGACGATCGCAGCGGCGACGTAAACTTATTTTTCCTGAAAATTCTTCAAACATTTCTTCGAAAGAATGGGGCAATCACGATATTCCGATTGATGAACTGCACAGATCCAAAGTTTCAACTTCACGTTCAAATAAAGTATAATTAGATTGATTTATTATTGTTTGTTTTAAAATTTACCTATATTCGTCTTAAGGTCGACTTAAACGCCTATTTCGCTCCGAAAATGGTGGAGAATGAAAATTCCGTAAGTATAAACAAAGATTTATCATTCCATATCAAACATTAGACTCTCAAAGCTATATCTATTTACTAAAAGATTAATGAATGGCAAAAACAACTAATGCAACTAACAAGTAAACCTGATCGAATGCTGATAACAACCAGAAAAAAATCGCGAAAATCTAAAAAATTGAGGTAAGATAAAATCTAATGTTTTACTTATATAGTTCTAAGCTGATTACATAATCACTGATATGTATCTGATTAATAGAACATAGAAATTTTAAAAGTTAATCGCCATTAAAGATGGACCAGGTAAAATGATGAGACACTTTCTTGTTTGTTGTTCAAGATTTAAATTTCATACAATTAGGTTTGTTCCATAGAGCAATAAATTCTCTACAAAAATCTGTTATTGAAATGTATAATGATATCTTTTCCGTTGACATAAAGTTGATGTAGTAAAAGTGCAAAATATTCTTCAAAATGTAAAGAAAAACTGAGATTTGTTTTGCATGTAAAATTCGACAATATAGTGCTCTATCTATCTGACTATTGAATAATTCAATTCAATGATATCAGTCTTTTTTGCAAGATATCAGGGCTCAAAGACGGTGTTTACAGTGGACTTTGTTCTTGATTCTTTAATTTAAAAAGAAAAACAAATTTTCTTTACTAATTCTTTCGCCTAATAAACTCTGTTTAAGCATTTAAACAAGCTACAAAGTTGTATTTTCTACAATAGAGAATAGAATTAAAACCAATCATTGTTAGTTACGCAAACGAAAGACTATCACTATAGTCTTCTCTTGAAGCGAAGGTTACCATGAAAATTTTAAATCAAGATTTATTTTGGATCATAAGGCACGAAACATCAAAATCGCCTAAAAATAGTGACGTTTACCTGATTCATTGAATGGAAAAGACTCAATCATCCCAGCTGAAAGATTCGCCGTCATTTGAGCTCAGTACTATGTATGTCTGTAAAATCTTTCAGTTTAATTAGTGTAAATGTTCATGACAGATTGAGCTGCAACCATATGCCTCTTGGAATATCTAACATCTATTGAAGTTTTGGACATTCTGACTTTTGGCCTCGTATAGGACTATGATAGATGTAGAGAAATTTCACCATAGTGATTCACATGTCAATCTGGTTGAAATCATGAAAAAGCTTTTTTTCGGGACAGTGGTAAAAACTTCATCTTAGTCTCTTATTCCATCAGAAAAAACTCAATCGAGTTGGTTGAAGTCGAATTGAAATAATGAATTTTCATCTTCAAGCTCTTTATGGACTAACCAGTAAAATAAGAACAGAGAATCCATATAAAACGTTCTTAAACCTGATAAAATAATAATTTCATAAAACGGATGATTTGCTTTTGTAATGTGATACTATTTTAGTTATACGAGAACTTAAAGCAAAGTTATACCATTTTGATTCATTAGTGGAGAGACCACAAGACTGACGAGCTTAGGGTTCAACAATTTTCCATTGGAATGTATGGACCGCAACTGATGCAATATTCTACAATTATCGAAATAGTTAAGATCTTCAGCTAGAGGTTAAGTTCAAACGTTCTTCTCTCATACGTTGAATAAATTCATCGAAAAGTCTCTATTACTCCACTAGATAACATTTGCATTACAGTATCCGACCACCCAACTATATTCATTAGAGTAAATCCTATTAAACTAAATGATCCTTAGTCCATTATCGTATCACAAGATTTTTTTTTTATCTATCCATGATTCTTCTCGGATTGAGGAAAAATGATTGTCTTCTTTGCAAGAACAAAAGTAGATTGAAAATTTTGATGTTTGAATATCTGCTATTTTCCTTTTGTGATTAAACATGTAAATGTTGAAGCTTGTAAAATTATTAAGACTCATTTGATCTATCGGTTTGTGCACATGTTGTTTTTTTTAGATGCAGCAGTTATGATCGATGCTGTCTTGGTTCACCGCTTTGCTGTCTTCTTCTTATGCTCGGTATTGGCACACTGATAGCTGTTATTTGTGGATTGTTCGTAGGCATTTTTGTTCGATCTCAACAGAATACAACAGGTTTGACGAAATGCTTTTGTCAATTGAGTGAAATTTTCTGAGACATCGAAAGATTGAGAATAAAAAAACTGTCTTGTTCAGTTTCTTTTCATTCATTGGACGATTTCTTAGATCATTTTTTGAGAACACTTTCATCGAAGATTATGAATTGATCTTCATTCGATTCGTAAATCATGTTTGATAGACACTTCGAAAACACTTTTCCCTTGAATCTTATTTTCACGCTGAATTTTGATTGATACGGACTTAGATATCAGATATATTTATCAAGACCTAAGGTTTGTTAAGAATGAAAGTAGTAGTTTGTCTTTCATGAGATAGATTTCTTTTCGAGTTCTCAAAGAATGATGACATAATAACATATATTATATGTACATTCATCATTTTGAGTAGCGTGAAATATAGTGTACATCTAACAGTGAGGAAAAATAAATCCAAAACTCTAGCTTTTATTTAAAAAAGATATTTTAAATTAAAACATACTTTTTCTTGTGTAGTTCGATGAGCTCTATCCACCCAGTACGAAAAAATACCTACTGAAACTTCCAATTGTGAACGCCTTACATATATTGAAAATATCTTGCAATTCGAATTTCTCGGTTTGTGTATGCCAAGCGCAGCCTATATTTTATACCTATTAGTTTGGCAGTGAAATCTTTAGTTTGATCCGATTATGTCGACTGCTTTTAACTAATAATACGCACATTTTCATTATTAGTCTTGAATCATAACCATTGATAAGGTTCAAGGGTCACCATGTCAATGTGGCCGTCAGAATCTGCAAGATACCCTTCTAGAAACGAGATCATTTCTTACCATAGACTTCACCATCTATCAACAATAAAGTATAACAAAAAATGATTTGACTATATGGTCTCACCGAACCTTGTGTCCCCCATCTGTTACTCTCTTAGGAAATTCACTGCGAAGAACCTTCATTTTCTGTCGAATAAAATTCTCAGAAAGTCGATAGTTTTAGTATGCATTTCTTACTTCTATCAAAGTCAAAGAAAGATGACTATATGAAAAAATAAAATTAAAGCGTCTTATCAATCTCGCATTCTTAAGAATTATCATTAGACTTGATTAAAGCAAATCAAATTTGTTGTGATCTTTTTTTCCGATTCTCCACAGGAACTGCTGATACTATGACAACAACACGTAATATATAATCGCTTTTGCTTGTGCATAAATTAATTTAATATGAATTTTTCTTCTCATCTTTACTAGCTAGCATTTGGAAATTGACAATACCAACGTATGCTACATGGAATGAAACAGGTGTAACAGTTGCTGGCAACATGAATGGAACAAGTGGTCATGATCTGGGATCACTTAATGTTCCTGTGGGTATTTTCGTTGACAATAATTACACATTGTACATTGCTGATCGGGACAATCATCGCGTTGTGAAATACTATACTAATACGGCTATCGGCATACTTGTTGGTGGTAATGGAACTATCGGTGATGATTTAAGTCTACTGTCGGGTCCCAAGGGTGTTGCCGTTGATGAGTATGGCAATGTGATTGTCGCTGATAGTGATAATTATCGCATACAAAGTTTTGCTCCTAATTCAATTATTGCTACGACAATAGTTAGTAATAGTTCAGCTTTTTTAATTGGTCAAATGCGAGATTTACATATCAATGTAAATAATATTATCGTTATAACTGATTCAACTTACAATCGTATAGTCAGGTTTAATCCTTCAGGTGGAATCGGCACAGTTATAGCAGGTGTAAATGGAACTGGATCAGCAGCAGATCAATTCTTTTCTGCTTTCGGAAATTTCATTGATACGAGTGAAACATTGTATGTAGCTGACTCTGACAATAATCGAGTGCAAATGTGGTCGACTGGAGCAACCTATGGAATCACTGTAGCTGGCATCAATGGCTCAGCCGGATCCAGTTCAGGACAATTGAGTCGTCCTCTAGCGGTAATAGTCGATAATAATGGGTATGTTTCTTGAAACTACTGATTTTTACTAAGTAATTATAAGAAGATATCAGAATTTATTGTCGATGATTGTTTTAAGCACTGATTGAAACAGAATGCATTCGATCCCGTTCAATGTAGAATCGATTCTGTAGTTATCTAGTATTCATAATTGAAATGTCATGCGTCTTGCTTTATGACTAGAATACTGATTCGATGATCATGAATAACTAAGCATTGAGTACTTTGTCATTCACATCTAGAATGTTAATCGACAACAAACAATGTTTATTCATTAGAATTACCAATTGATTACAATTTGAATAAGCCGAAAGATAGGTTTTTTCAATCGCTATTCTCAGTAAGTTCTAAAGTACGTAGGGAGAAAGTTGAAAGCTTCCCATACCTCAACACATACTATGATAGACGTCTCCATATGTTATTCAATCTGAGTATCACGAAACATAGGATCGACGTAGGCGAAGCGCTAGAGGGTAGCTAGAATGGATCGTTTGTATATACTGTAGGAATAACATTACAAGTTTTCGTTCTGAAAGAGATGAAAAACTTTAGAGATCTTCTCTCATCGAATTCTATATTCAGACAATGAATTTCAATGTACTGTATTTTATGTAGAGCTCGTAGTCAAAGAAACAGTATCAGTTTCAACTGAAACTTAAGAGATTTCTATCTTACGTATTCCTAGTCCTTATAATATATGTCTAATTAGTATTAGAGTTCTTTTTGTCTGCGAGTGTCAGCAAAGGAATGGAAAATCTAAAAAAAAGTCTTGAATTTAAGAATAACCGTTGTTGACTAATATTGTATATGTTATTTGAGTTTCATACATGAATTCATATGAAACTGTACTAAGAAACTTCGATTGCGGTCGAAGATTCAATTTAATCTCTGGTTATGGTGTTTATTTGATAGGTACACGTATATTGCTGATTCAAGGAACCACAGAATCGTGAAATGGACAACGAATTATACGGGAGGTGGCATCTGTGTTGTTGGTTGTACCGGAACAGGAGGAGTTGGCGCAAATCAATTGAGCGGTCCGCGAGACCTAAAATTTGATGCTAGTGGTAATTTATATGTAAGTGACCAAGGAAATAATCGAATACAAAAATTTTCAATTCAAACGTAGAACTCCACAGCTGGTATGATAATAAAATTTTTGTTTAATCCTCAAGACTACTCTTCTATGACGTTGTACATCTTTTTCCTAGAGCTCACATATATTTTCAAAGATGATAAAATGTGAAGATTTTGCGATTCCCTACTCCTCTGCTCTCCCCCCCCCCCCCCCTCCTCAACACAACAGACCATAGCAATCAAGGGTAACAAATGTTAGACTCCTTTCCCATAGGCCTTTAACAAGAGAAAACACGTTGAACGATATCAACGGCATGATTTAGATTGTTTTAAAGTATTCTAAGGTCTTCCGTAAAACTTAAATAGCTACAACGCATTTATGAGTGTTTTAAATAGTACACTTCAGACTATTGTCAAGCTAAAACTTTGAATGATATAAAAGTCCGATGGTTATGAATAGTGATACATTGATTTGTCATAATCACCATATGATCTATGTAAAAAATTGTGAATTGATCAAGTTATAATTTCGGAAAATAATTAAGATCAGTGTTTCTAGGCTTATCGAAATACATAATAGTGCCTTGAAATCTACTGTAGATCAAGGCAAACAAAAAAAAAAGATCGTTACCCTTGTGACTGATTATCTTGGAAAATAGCTTTAGACTGGAAGAGATTGTTTTCTGTACATACTCTCTGTTACTATATTTAGACAAAGGAACATATGTGAGTTCCATACTTCAGACTAAAAACGAACTGCGTTGATAAGCCTAGATCTATTGGTAACTCGACATGTACAACTATAGAGAATAAAAGTCAATTAATGTAATGTAGTTAAGTTATTAAGTTCCGAATGAATCTAATTAGAGATGTTTTGGGCAATGTAATTTTGTTTAAACGATTGTGAATCTTGTTTTTACCTATTAGTGAGTACTAATGAGGAAAAACCATGATGACATTACTTGTTTTCTGCAACTACAAAATTCTAATTTTGTTTTGTTTGGTTTTTTATTTTAGTGGATTGATGATTGTCAATGGCTACAACATCGATATACATAAATTTTCTTCAATCAGAATCGATTTTTTTAATAATCAATAACTTGGTTCCAATTAACCCTTAAAAAAGCTGTTTTTTTTTGTTCTTTTTCTGAAAAATTCCTAGCTTACTTTCTTGAAAAAGAAAGTTTTGAGAATTTTGACATGAGTGTGAATGTTGATGTGTGCGTGTAATCCTCCATAACTCACACCCACTCACCTGCATTCACATCCTTTTTTTGAATTTTCTTATATTTTTTTTGTCCTTTCTATAAAAAAGTCAAAATAGTGAACGTACCATACAAAGTTCTTGATTTTTTTTCTTAGGACAATATTTATGAAAGCTGCCCAAAATCACGAGAGTAAAAGTTTTTAAAATAAAAAAGTACCCACCCCAAATAGGAAGTACTATATGTGAAAAAAGTTTCAGCTCGATATCTCTTACTATGTCGGAGAAACTGGCTGAAACATGACTTCTTCTGTTCAAAATTTGATTTTGAGGAAAACGTTAAGCAATGTACGACAATGTGAGCGTAGGTATATGTTTTATTCTTCATTTTACTCAACATCTCACATCCACATCCCAAAACATGTTCGACAAGCTATTCAACTTTTCTTTGAATCTTCAACTGAGTGCATAATACAAATGACAATTTAAAATTAACATGAAAAAAAATGTGCAAGAATTTGTTCTTATAATAGTGCAACTCAACCAAGATATGTATATGATAGTTAGTTACACATGAAGTGACTATCGTTATTGAATGCTAAAGGAAAATTAACAGTAAACCTTAACAATAAAATAATCTATAACTTCTAGCACTATAGTCACGTACTAATTTTGCTACTCAATGTTTATCATTTCAAATAATTGGAAGTTTATTATTTATTCTTCTTGTTTTTTGAGAAATTAAGAAACTTCTGATCTTTCGATCGACATGATTCAGGCTGTAGTTCATCTGGAAACTTTTCACTAGGCATATGTTTTCATAATTTTATTACAGTAGATAAAATCGATTTGCATTAGGAGAGGGTGGGCGGGCGTGGGGTGGGTGCAGTAGGAAGATGCGCGGGGATGTTAGTGGAAGTGGGTACGGTGTGAGTGTTGATGTGAGTCTTGTCTAAAATCAAACTTGCACCCACACCCACACCTACAGGTATGGGTGCTGGTGTATCGTCAAGTGAAGACCCGTATGCGCACTACTAATGATCCGTATATCCTAAACCATGTACTCACATGGGTGCCATGCACGTACACCAACACCAGCACGTGTCATACCCATGCTTTACGACGAGAACAAAGCGCGTTGAGAGAACAGAGCACGATATCGATAGTGAGCGAAGAAAATTTGATTGGCATCCATACTTCTGCATGCTTTCTACAGAGAAACTTATGTGTTTATATAAGGTGCACTTGAGTAATTGTTTATACTTGTGCAGAGCAATATGAAATAAAGAACACAGAATCATGCTTTTTGTTGAATGCCAATAGTTGGTTTTTTTCAACTTAAAAAAAGTGGCGCAAAACCAGTGCTCAGATTAAATGGCAGTGCATCATCATGCATTTAAAAAGATGCTTTCATATTTTTGACGCTTTTACGAAAGCATAGTTTTTAGACTCTTTTAAGCAAAGTAAAAAAGCAAACAACGAAGTCAGCAAACATTTAGTATCTCAATCTTTCACTTTCAAGAACGAGGAAATTTCTTATTATGTATCTTATCCTCATTGCATGTTGCTATTACACGAACACATCGATCGCATCTACATGTGAATCCAAAAGTGTTTTGAAATAATTGTTGACGCTCCACAACTGGACGGTTTGGATCAATGTCGCGAATGAAAACTTGTTCATATGGTTCAATCTCTTTAGTTACGACAACTACCTGCCGAGTATTCTTGTTTCTAATACAAATGACATTTGAAACACATGAGTGATTGAAGATACTGTTGAAGAAAAACAACTTTCCATTTGGAGGTCGATTCTGCACATCCCAATTATCATTCTCATTTCCAAGATATGTAATACAATAATCATTGACGTCACATGTTTTTATTTCCGTGCACCTCTACTTATCACACATATGTCTTGGCTATGATCATGAAAAAGCCAATAAGCTAATCGATTAGAGTGCATCTTGTCTGTCGTCATTGTTCTGGATCTCGTCTCGTCACAATCTTGCCAAAAATAGGTAAATAGAAGTAATGTATTCCTCTAGAAGCTGATCGTCAGAGGATTCATCAGGACTCTTGCTCACATATCAATAATGGAAACATGTTTTGCCATTACCTATCCATCACTAGATATTGCAACACGGACAGTGACTGGACACAAAAGAATATTCTTTCTTGTTTATATAGGAAATTTTAAAAAAAATTAGATCAATCGATTCCTATGAACAAAAGTACAACAGTTCCGTTCAGTTTATTCTTCATGCATCAAACAGTTTGCTTCATCGAAAGACTTTTTTTGGTTCGTTGAAATGATAAAATATATCTGTAAGAAAGCTTTGATTGTTTGTCTTGATCGTATCGCTCTTACTCAAATATCTAATTCAAATACGCAATCATCAGAAATGCATCTGATTCACCTGATAGAAGTGACCATACAGGTGTTTGAGAATGAAAAAAGTTCGTCAAGCGCAACTGTTTGCGAAAGCCCACTTTCTCATACAAACCAATTGCCTTGTAGTTATCGGCTTGAGTATGGAGTAAAACAGCTAAATATCTTTGGCGTTTTGCCCAAGAAAGAACAGCATCCAATAAACGAGTTCCGACACCTTGACCTTGACTAATAGGACGCACACCGAATAGTTTGATGTAAAGCGTTTTACGGTCAGGTTCATATTGAACAAGAGCGCAACCAATACATTGATATGTATAGATATCGTAGGCACACCAGATATGATCGATATTTTCTACCATGCTTCGAAGACCGTCAACACCATAGTAATTTTCGAAAAGTGGGCCAAGTACAGAATGAACGTGCTCATAGGGAAAATAATCATTGTGATAGATATGTATTGGCACAGTAGCATCAAAAGCGTCAAACGTTGATCGATGAGAAATTAAATTCATTGTATATAGAGCGATCGAGCAACGAAGAGAAATGAAAATGATGGAGAAAAAAACACGCAAATGTTGACGCGAAAGTATTACTCAGACGCACAACTTATGATTCACAGTCATGACTCTCAGCCACTACCAAACGAAGCGAACGTTGATAGGAAGAAAAAAAAATGCCTCTGGTGTATAAAGACAAATAGAACACAGCAATGTAGCACTCATTTTTCTTGTTTTTGGAGTGTGGGTGTGAATGTAAACCTGTTTCTAATCTACGTCCACACTCACACCCTAATAAATCAATATCCAATTTATTTTGTTGTGATGCGAGATTGACAACAAGTTGGTGAGGCACCTGTTAGATAGCGACGTACTTTTTGAACGCAGTGAAGCGAAACGAATGAATAGTTTATTGAGAAAAAAGAGAATTTTTACCAAAAGAGAGGAACGAAAAACAACAATGTTTGCCTTTCTGAGAAGACGAATATTGAAAAAGCAAAAAGAAAAAAAATGTTCTTCAGTTAATTGAAAAGGAGAAAACGAATACGAAATACATCCTTAAGTAAAAAGAAAAGAAGATGAGTCAACGTATTGACGAAAGACGAAATAGAAGAACAGACAGAAGAGACGAAGAAGAAAAGATGAAGTTACATAGTCGTGTATATCGGTTGAGAAATAATTGTTTATTATGTAACAGTTTGATTTTAATGAACAAAAATAAATCAATCAGATGAAAATTTCAATCGTGCAAAAAACAGTTGAAAAAAATCTTTCTTTTCAACTTTTTTCATTATTCACAGTTTTAAAGATGAGAAAACAAAAAAAATGTTTGAAATACTTGGCATGATTATTCATTGTTGTGTAAGACATCAAAATGAAAAATTCATTAAAAACGTGGAAAAAATTTAGAAGAAAATCTTTAAAAAACTTTTTTTTTCATCAAATATCAATTAAGAATGAAAAGAATTGAATTTTGATTTTCTTATAGTGATGATTGAAAAGAAAAGATTTTCATTATTTTCTTTTTATTTCATTGAATTTATTGAGATATTTTTGAAGGAAAGAAAAAAACATTACTTTTATTTTGTCTATTCGATTATGAAACATGTTGTTGCAACAATATTTAACTAAGAATGAGTCAATAGATTGTCTAAGATTGAAACATCGTTTTATTTCGATAAATTTTAATATTCGATTAATATTTTTGTTGAAATTAATTTGAAAGAACCTCAAAAATTTTCGATGATTTTGTACAAATCCCTTCAGATATGAATTCTTTTTTTTCTATGCTTTATTATTTCTGAACAAAAATTTATCGATTGACTGAAGAAATAAACAGATGGAGAAAATTCAAATGATTTAACAATGCATAATGAAAATTGAATGAGATTACGTAAAATAAGAGAATTATCTTTTCGAACAATTATTCACTTATCTAAAATATTTTAAGGACGAATAATTAAAAGTCAATCTGGTGGAAATGTATTCAGAAATGAAACTAATCTTTTTAGAGAAAGTTGATTTCAAATATAAATGACTATGTGTTTTGTGTTTTTTGAATTTTGATAAAAAAATTTATTGTGTCCTTATGAATTCTTGTGTAATATTCATATTTGATGTTGTCTTTAAAATTTCTTTGTGTGATTCATTGAAACGAAGAAGATCTCATTATGATTAAATCAAATCAAAACTTCATCTGAGAGTTTTGACGAATTTTATTTTGTTTTTTTTTTCTTTTTGAGCTATTTTGAGGTATTACATTTCAAAATTGGATTGGTTTTTTTTGAAAGTGTTTTATTTTTATTGAATAAGGTTCGTCGTGAAATGGAAGATTTAGTGATTCTCTTTTTTTTTGTTTTTGTTTATTCATCTGAAAGAAAAATTCGAACATTGACTAAATCCAAACTGTTCTTCGATACACATAAATAAGATTTCTCAAAGTCATATTTGAATTTAAACTCAACAATCCACAAGATGGTAAAAATTTGTTTGTTGTTGAATCGATTCTTTAAAAATATTTTCATTAAAATTTAGTCTAAAATCTATTGATTCTTTTTTTGTTTTTCTACAATTGCGAAATGTTAAAGATTTATTGAATATTTCACTTTCATAAATTATTGTCCTTCTATTTGAAATAAGAAACAGAGTCTATGCGCAATTCTCAAGAGAAAATTTTGAAATTTGAATGAAAACAATTATTTTGTGTTGATATCAACTACTGTCTGAGTTCACGACAATACCGAGTTTTTTTAATATTAACTTTTTGTGAATAGTTAGAATTGTATATTTTGATACGACAATATATTCATTGTTTCTTTCGTTTTTACTCTTGAGATCAAAAAACGAAACTGCCTTTGCATTATTTGCTGTATGTTATCTGAGCGACAGAAAAAAAATACTACGCATTATTCTCATGTGATGATTTCGATTTCGAAGCAAATATTACTGTCATGAATATAAGGTAATGAAAAAACATTTAAAGTCTCAGAATCTTATCATATTTCACAGAACAGAATAATCTCAAAGGAAAACATAAGCAGATCAATTTTATCCAATATTGACATTTTTTTATGTGATGAAGCCTCTCGGTTTTTTTTATTGATACTGGTCATGTTGTCCAGGATTACTAACTCATCATTAGTATTACCGTCAGCGATCGAGAAATGTTGTGATTTATCGAGTCCTGAGGATGTGGGTAGGTGTGGGCTGTGGCATGGATGTGGATGCGAGTGTTTGTATGGGTGTGTATGGATGTGAGGGTATGGATGAACATAAACATCACCGCGCCCCTAGAGGAAAATAGCAGGACTTCATCTACTTCAGAATATTTTTGAAGTATGCTGAAGTACAATGGAAGTACGACCGAAGTACCACGAAGTACGCTTGAAGTATCAAGAAGTACAAGTGAAGTATGCTTGAAGTACCGGGAAGTAAGATAGGCGTTTACTGAAATACGACTTAAGCAAAGTGCATATTTCTTATTGATGTTATAAGTGTGCTAAACATTATTGTTTTCTGAAAATATGACAAATGCTGTATTTAATAAGTTCAGGAGATTCAACTCATAAAGAACTGAAAGTCTTTTGTACCTTTCTCTCTGATGATCGTATTCGCTATGAGAACTTGTTAGTTATAAATGAATTTGGAACATGTGTTTTTCTTTTTAAATAACGAGCTTCGTTATATACTTCTCCGAAAACGAATCAATTTCATTTAATTTCTACTGGGGAAATTAAATAGATAACAAATTCAACAGTTAATCCGGTTGAAATGATCGCAAAGAGTATGCATATAACGTCACGTATTAAGCGCAAATATTGATTATTCTTCCATAGTATTTATTTTACTTAATAATCCTAAAAGTTCAATACAGCGCAGTTTTTTCAGTCAAGATAAACGCCGCGCACTGTACAAGTAATTAAAACAGAATAATGTATCAAATTTTGTATGATAGTTGAGGAGAGAAAATGTTCAAGCACTTTACTGTCTCATATCTTTGCTATATAAAGAAGATCGTTTCGTAAACAGTTCTGAAAAATTTATTATTAGTTTTTAAAATCAATTATATTTAATAGATTTAGAAATGATGTGAATTTTAATTCAGAATGAGAAATAACTTACACCCATTTTCTGTTAAAGACTATCATTCATATTTTAATCTCTCTGTTATATACATTATTTATTCCTATGTAAAGATTAACGTGATGTTTTCTTTTTTTTTGTATCAGGAGTTTGTTCAAATTTATAATTGTTTACCTTTCTCAAGTAGATAAACAATGAACATGTTTTTATGATTTTTAATAAAATACATATAATAGATTCAATTATCAACTATATTTAAATGACTATATACGTGCACATACATCGATTGTTGATGCGAACTAGAATAATTGATTATTCAGTGAAAGGTTTAGCGTCAACGAAAGAGTATGATTCAAAATAAATCTTTCCTCAAATTTATCGTGAATTGTTGGTTAGATGATAGATGAAACATACCTACTGCACTTGGTAATACTTAGACAGCTAAACTGTCGGTAATAGTCATGAAATCGAATTTCCTGTAGTAAGAATCTGATAAAAAATATATTTTTTTTGTCATTAACCTAAGGAATCAATTTCCTATCACGCAAGCTATTCTGAATAGCTTTTCATTTTCCTTGGGTACTGAAGCAGCTACTCGTGTCGCTATCATGAACATTTGATAACCTTAACAGGAATTCACATGAAGTAAAATGGAAGTATGTGAAGTACGACAGAAGTATCAGTGGAAGTACATGAAGTATAAGGGAAGTATGTGAAGTAGGATAGAAGTATCAGTGGAAGTATGTGAAGTACATTGGAAGTGTCAGTGGAAGTATGTGAAGTACGATGGAAGTATTAGTGGAAGTACATGAAATACCGTTGAAGTAGCAATGGAAGTATCTGAAGTACCACCGAAATGTCATGGAAGTAGCAATGGAAGTAGCTGAAGTACGATAGAAGTATAAGTGAAGTACACTTGAAGTAGGCACTCCTGAAGTCTTGCTATTTTCCCCTAGGATAAAAAAGGGAGGCTACAATAAATATTTTTTGACTCATCTTATGAAGAGTCTATTTGTAAATTATAAAAATTTCCTTGTTTCACGAATGACGTCAAAGAGGCGTGAAACATTATTCAGTTGTTTTTGTGAAACTCACATATATTTTCGAAGAAAATAGTGAGTGTAAGTTCTAAGTCGAAATTTTCCAGCTCTCCAATCTCCCTCCTCCATCCAAAAAACAAAAAAAAATTCTTTTCGAGGTTTGAAAAATAAATAAGAAAGATTCTCACTGAAGCGATCGAACGTCTTGAAAAATAACTCTAGTCTAGAAGTCATTTTTTACTTTACTTATTTTTCATTAGTTTAAGGAGGCTAAAGAATTTGTGTGAGTTCTACATTTCAGTCTCAGAGGAGCTGTGCTAACAAGCTTTTTTCGTTTCATTATCTAGAAGCAAAATTTGTAAATTGAAACCATATGAAAATAAGTTCACATTCAAAATGAATATCTCTAATCAATCTTATCAGAAATGTTCATATTGTAGACGTCTTCGAAATATAGTATTTACGTAGAATCTTGTTAGATGTCAGTACTTGTTCGAATAGTATGATTCATCTGTTGACTTGTTTGATCTTTTTTTTTCGATTCTTGAGATCTCTTGCTTTCTTTTATTATTGTCACCAAAAAATAAATAAATAGATAACGATGTCATGTTTTTCGTTGCCTGTAATCGATTTGAAGGCAGATGAATCAACTATAGTCCAGTCAATATTAAATGCTTGTTCTACAATTGGTTTTTTCTATCTCCGTAATCATAACCTTTTGAATGCTCAAGAATGCATGTTTAAACTTGCTAAAGAATTTTTTCGTTTACCATTAAATGTTAAAGAACAATATATCATTAGAGAAGAAAATTATGGTTATATTCGACGTGGACAAGAAAATCTTGATACTACAAGTACAAAATTAATCGATGAAAAAGAAGCATTCAACATAAAAAAATCAATGCAACCTGATAAATTACCTCCTCTATTTTCTGAATTAGATAATTATCAATTCATAACTAAATTTTATCGTGATTGCTATGATTTATGTATGCAATTATTAACATATGTTGCTCAATGTTTTAATATTGATTTGGATTATTTTACATCAAGACATAAATGGGAACTTAAACCTGATAATACTCTTCGACTTCTTCATTATCCTGCCATCGAAAATCAATCCGATGAATATATTGGAGCTGGTGCTCATTCTGATTATGGTTCATTAACTCTTCTTTTTCAACATGAACATAAATCAGGTCTTCAAGTACTTGATCGTTCTACAAATACTTGGTATTCTGTTGAACCATTTGATGATATGATTGTTGTTAATTTTGGTGATGCATTTGAATATTGGTCAAAAGGTTTTATTAAAAGTACTGTTCATCGTGTTATTATGCCAACAATTAATTCAACAAAAGACAATGAACGATTTTCTATAGCTTTCTTTTGTGATCCTAATGATTTAACATTATTATCACCAATTCCATCAAAATTAATTCTTGCTCAAAAATTTGAAAAAGATGAACATGCTAAACATGTACTTGACTATGATAATGAAGATTCATTAACAGCTGGTGAACATTTAGCAATGAGATTGAATAAAACATATACTTATTAATGATTATGAATGGAATATCTTGTCTTTCATTGATTACATCTTTTAATTGAACTAGTTTGTGATTATTTAAATAAACTTTTATGTATTGATTTAGTTTCAGAGAAAAGAATTCATTATTATTCGACTAAATATGTCACTAACAAAATGCAAAGATAAAAACTTTATATTCAGTAAGAATGTGAATATTTGTGAATGAAGAATAAAACTTGATAATTCTTAATACTAGCATCCGTCAGATTGATTTCAAATTTGAGTCCAAAAAATTTTCTGTTAACCGGATCCGAAAATTTTGGACTCAATGGGTTCTAGTCATCTGAAAAATATGTAGGGTGCACTATTTACTGAATACAAAAACTCAGAAAAAAGTATCTCATATCTTCGAAGTGACTATTCAATTCCGTTTGAAAAATTTCACTGAAAGTATCAAAGTACGGGGTCGATCGTATCCAAAAAGTTTTCCATCAATGGGCGTTACTCATGAAGAAGGTCCTTTAACTTTTCAATCGCTTTTGAGTCAGGATTATGTGCATTATGTAGATCCAAATCAGCTATAAATACTTTGAAAAGAGTTCGTGTCCTTAGCTTATTACTACGGCGATGATACACTCTTAAGGTATCTTTTTAAATCAATGCCGTGATAATAGAAAAACTGATTTTTTGAATTTCGACTTGAAAGTTTGCATAGAGACAGGTCTTAACAAGCATATTTTTTGTTGATCTTGTCGCTGTTCCTATCCTAAGATACAACTATGATAATAGAGTGTCTGTTACATCTCACCGACAGAGTTGATATTCTTATTTCAGAAGAGAAGCAAACTAAAAGATCTGAAACACTCACAATAAACTGTTCTCATTAAGGCGCGTCTGAATGCAAAGTTTCAAGGGTGTGAGTGTGGATACTATTAAAGAGAACAATTACACCCACACTCACACCCCAGGATTTTACTAAGTTTCCTCGAGAATATTATTATATTTTTTGGTAGAATCTTTGCAGAATTTTTAAAAAATATTGTCCTATCAAAATCTAGGATAGGACTAGCTTTTCTCTTCTCACTATTTCAAAACTGCTAATTTCTGAAAAAAGTACCTTACAGAATTTTCTAAAACTGCAATAAAGACATGTGATGCTTATCGTTGCAACTTGTTTAATCCTCGACCAAATGATAAACTTTTTCTGAATAATATGCCACTGTACAAGCCCAATCGATATCAAAATGAAATATATCCGTGAGGATGGATAGGAATGTGTACGTGAGTACAAGTGTATTGGCAATAGATGTGTCGATGTCAGTGTGTATGTGGTTCTCGATGTCACTATGATTCTTCTTTTCATGCATTCAACCAATCACAAGTATAACTGAACATCCACATCCTTATTGGAAGTAATTGTCCAATCTTCATCAGTCAATTTATGTGAAAAAAAAGGATGAAGACAATAGCATTTCATCTTCAAAGTGTATATCCTTTAAAAGAATGGCCAACTGAAGAGATGCAATAAATACCGATATGGATTTTAGACTAACCTGTGCGCCAGTACACCGCTGTTTATCAGTCGACTAGGTGAATGAGTATACCGGCCGCTCGGACTAGATCAGAATTAATGAGGGCGGTACCAGTACGAAACATAAAACCCCAGACCAGTTCCATCTATAGAACACAGGTACACAAACACACACCTCTTTACCACATGAACAACTCACATCCCACTTCCACACTCAGCTCCGCTCACATCGATCCAGCTTGAAAATGCTGATTGGATGAGAGCTATTATCCATTTCAAAATAAAGTGGACTCAGTTGTTTGTTTAATAACTCTGCAAAGTTAATAGCTATTGAAGCGCGATTCTAACCGTTAGATAGAGACTGGCTGGGGATACCTCTATAACTGAGAGTCAATGAACTTTGAAATTTTTTTGGATGTATTGCAGGTGTTTTTAATAAAACTCTGACAGACTCTTTTTATTACATACATTCTTAATTTCAATTTAGCCAAATTGTAGCCTAGCATCTGCTCTATAAACGCTGAAAGTTTCGCACTTCTCTCAGGTGTCTCTGAGATACAAGAAAAAGTCTCCTGAAATCGAATAATGCTAAATTTTCAATTTTTTTTTGTCTCAAACCTCCCCATCCATAGAGGTGATAGAATCTACTGATTGTTGTAACGTTATTACTTAGATGATAGAAGATCTTTGATTTCTTCATAGCACATCGTGTATGTCTATTTCTGCCCATCTTCATTAATCGATTCAAGAGAAAAATTGAGTTTTTACTCTTTTATGTTTAATTTTTTTCTGTCTATTTCATTACAATGACATATGTACGCATGAGAGAAGTTATCACAAATGTAGATGGTACAGAGGAGGGACGCATACAAACTATCACTCAGATATATCAGACTCATTGTCATCTGTTGCTGCTGAATATTCTTCTTCATCAGTTTCAATCAATTGTGGCTCAATATTGTTTTCAACACTGGCATCGGCTGCTTTGAAAATATTTGCAATTGTGTATGTATGCTCGATGAAGCTTTGTGCTAAGTCTTCATCAACGGCAGCGATAAAGTCGAGCGCACTATCTTCAACATCGGAAAGACGAAAATTAACATTTGTGTTGGGCACGTGTGACTTGAGTTGGGCCCATGCAAGCTCTATGGAATTGAGTGTAGAATGCTTTACCGGAAGTCGCAAGATTTCGACATCGAAGTCTTGGGCAATTGTATTAGTCACATATCGTTTTGGTGGTACGTTTGACAATGCAAATTCGAGAAACTCGGCCTTGGACACTGTGGCATCCCATGCAATACTTTTTCTAGTGAGCCACTGGTGGAGTTTATATTTAGTCCAAGCACGTCGTGGTGGTTTGGCATCACCACACAATACATCGTGCCACGGTGGGTTGTCTATTATTATGGCAATAGGTTGACCAGGACCATGTTTAATCCGAAGACAAGAAGCAGCATCTTCTAAACACTTGTGAAATCGTTCACTGTTCATAGCATGATCCTTGTCGCACTGCCAAACATCAATCGATTCAACGAAACCTTCCAATCCCACCATTGCCGAAATGGCAATGCGCTTTTCCTGTCCATCCTGTTTGCGCAGCCGACCTTTCCCTTGATCATCAATCCAAATATTACATTTCTCCTGCCCAGCACCCAACCACGTCTCATCATGATAATATATAAGAGTACCTGCAGCACGGAATTCGTCGAGGTGACGAAAGTAAGACGCGCGTTGAGCAACAAAATGTACTCCATCGAGAAGCACGGGACTTTTTGCAGTTGCTTTATACGAAAATCCAAGTTGACGCATCTGGCGCCATAATGTAGTAACCGAGCGCACTGGAAAATCATGGTGTTCCGCAAGCAATCGAGCAAGTAATGTCTTAGTCGTCGGATCGATCTTTTCGGTAAGCATCACATGAAAATGATATCTAATGGCATTTTGCCCTTGCTCGTTAAGAATCAAGCGTAGACGACCTGAATTTCCTTGTTTCATTGGAGACTCAGCTGTAGGAATAGACGGTTCTCAATATCTTTTGCTGTGTGATACTGAGGGAGAAGCAGCTGCGGATGTTTAATCTAATCGAGAATAAATCGGATTCTCCGTTGTTGCCGAGGAAGGACGAAGTCGCATCCTGACATTTTGTTGCACATTGGTTATTTCTTCCTTCTTTTTTGCTTCTTCTTCTTCTTCTTTTTTCTCTCTCTTCTCAGCTTCTTGCTCATCTTTCAAACGCTTCATCTCTTGTTTGAGATTAAAAACAGACCCTTTGGATATTCCAAGCATTGCTTGAATTCGTTCTGTGATGTTGTTGAGGGGTATTTGAGGGGCAATTTTTTCCGCTTCCACAAACATAATCACTCGAAAAAAGACATTCTTTAAGTCGGTGGAGCATTTCTGACCAGTAGGTATCAGACACGTTAACTGTTAACCAAGAAGATGATATCACCGCTCAACCCAAACTGTACGAGATCACCTTGTGATGCAGAGTTTGTATTAGATGTATATTGGACGATATTGTGTGGAAATAACTAAGATATTTACGCCCACTAGTGGACTCTAATATAAAAGGTTTTCCTAATAAAACCAGATACAGGAAGACAAAAATGATTGTGTAAGATACATGTATTCACACTTTCTTTATTTCAAATCGTATCACAGTACTATCTGCCATTCGAGAAGAAACAATAACTCAGTCACTGAACTGTAAAAGTAAGTCAATTGAACTTCCAGAAAAACTGAAGTCTTGAGAACAGAAGCACATATATATATATGGGAGCAATTCAGAGAGAACCTTCTCGAATATTCTAAAAAGGAACACATGAAAACGAAAAATAGAACAATAATCTTGACGTCATTCTATACCATAAGAATGACAGGAAGGAAAAGAAAAGATATACCAAACACAGTAAGTGAAAAGTCCTTAATAACCTCGTACGTCATACAAATCAAATATCGGTTTGTGATAAAGTGGACGAATGTTCACTACGAGCGAATTGCATTGTGATTGTTGCGTGTATCATTACAAAGCAAGATGCAAAAATTATTATTGGATACCTTAAATTAATCAATATAGCAACAATCAGTAGATTCTATCACCTCTATGGATGAGAGGTTTGAGACAAAAAACAAAATTGAAAATTTAGCATTATGCGATTTCAAGAGATTTTTTCTTGTATCTCAGAGACACATGAGGGAAGTCTGAAATTTTCAACGTTTATAGAGCAGATGCTAGGCTACAATTTGGCTAAATTGAAATTAAGAATGTATGTAATAAAAAGAGCCTGTCAACGTTTTATTAAAAACACCTGCAATACTTCCAAAAAAACTTCAAAGTTCATTGACTCTCAGTTATAGAGATACTCTCAGCTAGCCTCTATCTAATGGTGAAAACCGCGCTTCAATAGCTATTAGTGTTGCAGAGTTATTAAACAAACAACCGAGTCCATTTTATTTTGAAATGGATAATAGATAGAGAAAACGTCTGATTAGCTGAACT